AAACTATAACAAGCACAAAATGGTTACGAGGTCGGTCCCAAGAACAGAGCCTGTGCTGAAAGAGTTAAAGCAAACCTATCCTTGCTTTCATTTGTAGCTTTCATTAAGTAAGTAAGATAGTAAATTGAAGCTACGTTATTATTTAGACATACAAAGTAGACATGAACAGCAGACATTACAGTGAGTTGTGTAAAAGCAGTACAATGTCATGACAACAAAAGTAGTAATAGCTAATATTTCAATTATTAGGTAGTTGGAATAATCAAAAACAATAATAATTGGTAATATTAATTTAAATTAATTGATTATTTTACCTGATACTAATTGATGTAATCAATGTTCATAGGTAATTAAGTTAATTGGCTAAATCTAGTCAACAATAGTTTTCAGAAATCATAGGAAGAACAAGAATTGTAGTTTTACTAGTGTGAAAAGTCCTGGCTGTATAAAATTTAATGTTGTATTTAGTTTTTATATTAAGTCATAGACTTGTAATACAATTTATACATGATTTTGAATCTTAAGTAAAAAAGAGAAAACATTATTATTAGTTCTAGTGTACAGTGCAATATTAGTATAGTTAAATTACAGTTCTGTTTGCATATTTCTCTTATAGAATATCCCTCACTTTTTCCCTATAATGAGAGAAACACTGAATGTTCCAAGTGTAAGAGATCCAGAGATACTGAACAAGCTTGATCATGAAGGAGTTTTACAGCTGTGTCTCCGCTACCAAGATCATCTTCGACAGTGTACAGAGGTTGTGAGTGGAGAACAGAACTCTTTGGCATCGAGAGTAAGAGAGGTGAGGAAAATTTCTTTGTAAGATGAGAAAGGTTTATTCTTTAAAAGAATCTTTCACATTTGTTCAAGTTATACAAGTCCAAATACATCAATGTAATCCTGGATGGAGATTATTGTAAGAATATGTTATTTTAATTCTTTCTTTCACTACTTCCAGTACATTAATTTTGTGACATACTTTAAGAAATCTTAACCATAGCGTTTTCTGAAACTAAGAGGCCCATACTTTAAAAAAAAAAAAACTGCTCATCTATTCATTTTCTCTTGCAGTAGGTCACCTGTCTAACTGGTGTTGATTTAAACTTTATTGTTTTAAAAAGTGAGTTCAATCCAGAAACTCCCAAAGACAGTGGTTTTGGACGTATCTTTTCAAGACATGTTTTCGTTTGTCAATTGAAGAAATTTTAAAGTGAAATACAGCATTCTGAAGTCTCCGTACTAGTTAGTACTAAGGTCTATCTGCTGGGAGTAAATTCAGTATATATCAATAAAGCCACATTCTCAGCATCATTAATTAAGGAATTACCAATCTTTTATGCTTCTGCTATCACCTTTTTATGCTTAGCTTTCAACTGAGATGCGAACAATTTCACATGTGATTCGGTAGGGAAGGTCGAAGCATCACAATAGTCAGCAATATTCATTTTTGCAGCCCCAACATTAAAAGAATGCAGGAAATACCTTCTTTTTAGCCAATAAAAATATCCAATAAATTTCAAACACCAATATCATTCACCTGTGGATGTGAATAACAAAACACTGGAATATCAGAACTGTTCTATTTTTTCTCTTGTTTATTAATTTTTTCAACTACTTTCATAACTTCAAAGGTCACTCTTCGGGATATAATTTTACTGAGAATCTATAACGAAAATAAAAATCTATAATAACAATAAAAATACTGTTTTTCAACTAAACATAAATAGTATATATTAAATACATATATTTTCCAAATGTACAAACATATTATACACTGTGTATGAATTAAGTGTATTAAAAATGCTTGAAAATAATTAAAATTAGTGAAAGTTTATCCAATATAATTTCCTTTTTAATTTAAAATCTTATTGTAATTATACTTTCTTTTATTGTTATAGAAATGTAATTTATTTATTATAAAATTTTTATACTTTTTTACTTACTTTTTTCTTTTCTGTTAAGTCTTAGTAACAGTTTTCACGGTTTCACAGTTCTTATTGACTTTACACAACCAATTACTTCTGCTGTCTTATTTCTATCTATTTAAAGTAATATATTTATAAAATATTTTTCTAAAAACAATCTTTTGTGGTTTACTTTACACATCCAAAAAGGGAAGATATGTAAAATGTGGTTCTTATGGAATTTTTAATTTTTTCAAACTACATTCATTAAAATGTTTGCTAGCATATATTACACTTTGTTCAGAACATCTAGCATTGAATTTCTGTAAACTTGTACATATATTATAATTGGAATAAGATTTTAATTTAAAAAGGAAAATACATTGGATAAATTTTGGCTAATTTTACATATATATACACAGGGTTGTTGTTTCTTAAGATTTTCCCAATATTTAATATGTCTGATACTTGATGGAATATATATTTACGATGAATATTCATCCATGTTTTCCTCTTTTCTTACATTTTCTTTCTTTTTTAGACTACATGTCTTTACAGTGTTTTTCATCGAACCTTTTTAAGAATGATAACTTCTTGTTCTTACATTTTCTCTCCGCTTTACTTCCTTTATTAAGCCACATACTTTCTGTCTACTAATAAATCTTTACTTAGGTTGTTTTTCTGTGTTCTTCCATTGCTGAAACATTATTATTTGAATGATTTCAAACATCTATAGGTTCATATTAATCACTTCCAAAATTCGTTTTGTTAGTTTTAACCTATCCAAGAAATGCAATTTACTTCAATATTTGAACATAACTTTGTCATTTCAGGCTGAAGATTATTGGCTAGGTTTTGTAACTACTGCTTTTATTTATATCTGCACAAAATCATATTACTTGGAATAATTGCAATCAGGGATTCTTTATCTTTTTAAAGAATTACTTTTGCAAAGGAGAAAATAAGTTCAAAGAACTCTAAATTTTTGGTATCACTCATTTTCACTTTGATTGTATTCACTTATATATGTTAGTAAATTGATTTTTATCTTGAAAGTGAAATTAAAATGTCAGCCTGCTATTTTTATTTATGACAGATTGACTTTGCAGTAGCAACTTTGATGAGTATGATGACTGAGCGCCAGAAAAAATTTGCTAAATATGCAGAGCAGTTAGGCAAGGTGCAGGACATCTCATCAACCTTGAAACGATGTCATATGACTTTGACTGAACTTGTGGAGAGCATGGATACATTGAACAAGTTACTTCCAGAGGAGGAAAAACTTGAACCATTTGTAATGGTAACAGGATAGGAATTGTGAAATTAGGACTTATTTAAATCTAGAATAAAAATGCAGTTGTTTGCTGATACGACATTGTTTGATTTGCTTTGTTTTCTGCTGTGTCAGAAGATAAAGGTGTACAACTGCTTTTTCTAAAGAGTTTTATGAGAGAGGGAATTTCAGGTCCTTTGAAATTACCTGTTAAAATTTAATGAAACTACAATTATAATGCAAGTGTGTGGTCAAGAAAAAGTTTTAAAGTGAGTAAGTAAATTGTTGCACACCCTCTGGTGTGAATAAACTTTTTTTTCACATTGTTCCGTTATATTATTTTTGTGTCACTGATACTTGGTAAAGGGTCCAAGCTTTAAAGGAATGAATGCCAATCTTGAAATATTGTTTTCTTTGTTAGGTTATTATTTAAGGCATAGAAAATAATGAGGGATATTCTTACAACAGCTTAGAATGGGAGCAGAAATTTGTAAATTGTAATTAACTAAAATGAAATTAAGAGAGATAATACATTTTGAAATGATAAATATATTGAAAACTTACATTTAATCTGACATATTTTTTAAGCATTATCATTTCAGACTTCAAGAAAGATTTAAATAAATGAACTAAATGTTTACATTCTGTTATATTGTGAAGTAATTTCTAGAATTCAGTGGTGTTGGTAACATCAATTTATAAAACTTGACAAGAAAATTTATTTTTTACATCAAATTTATTTTTGCCTCATTCTCTGCTAACAACTAACTGTGTAAATCATTGCAAGTATCTCTATCATTTTTGGATACAGGAAAACAAAAATAACATTTCTACTCAGTATCAGATGTTTAATTTTTTATTTAATTTTTTAAATGAAGCAAAAGCAATTGTTAATTGATTTTGAAGGGTTTAATTTGTACTGAATTTTGTGAGATCTGTCAAATTGTTTCTCAATAACACAAAAATATTACATTTTTTATATTGCTTGAATATTTCTGAAAGCTTAGAATGTATAACCTTTTGTACATAATACTTCAACATTGCTGTTTAAAGATGGAGCTGTGTGTGTGTGTGTGCGTGTATTTATATATTGTATATGAGTGTAATTTTAAAGTGAAGCAGAAAGAAACTGCTTTTTATCAAAGTGATAAATGTGACAATGGGGCAGCATGATAAGAATTTGTTGCTGGAAATGAGGCATTTCATCATTGTTACTATAACTTAAAAAATATTTTAAAAAATTTCCACAATTTTTGTAATTTTTTAAAACTTTTGGAAAAGCTTGAATTATGTTCAGAAGGAAAGATTTAAAGACTTGTGTTTTAGTTGTTTTTTTTTTTACTCATACTGTGTTTAGCAAATTTTTATGTACGATATCAAAAGCAGAGCAAGTTGGAGCATTTTATATTAATTTTGCCTTTTTCTTTTTGTTTAGATGATTTGATTACATTTAAAAAACAGATGTTGTAATCAGTTGACAAAGGGTGATGAAACAATGAACTTCTTTCACAAAGCAAATGCAGTAATTTTTACCAAATCATTTGTAAAGCTTCATCTTATTAAAAAAAAAATTTTTTTTCACAATAAATGTTGTGTACAAAGCTTTAGGCTTGGAAAAAACAGCCAGAAATTAGTTATTGGCCAACCAAAGATAAGACTGTCCGTCCAATAAAAATCTTAATGTCCAATAATATTTTTCCTCAGGTGGGTTAGCAGTAAGTATATGGAATTCCAATGCTAAGAATCTAGTGTTTGTTGCCATGGGGTAGACAGAATGCAGATAGCCCAATGTGTGGCTCCATGGGGTAGACAGAATGCAGATAGCCCAATGTGTGGCTCCATGGGGTAAACAGAATGCAGGTAGCCCAATGTGTGGCTTTGTGCTAAAATAAACAAACTAATGTTACCCAACTATTTTATTGTAATAAGAACATTATACTTAAATACTTCAAAATTTGCTATTTGAAATACTTCTTTTGTTTGAAGTACAAAAAACGAAACACCAGTATTGTTGTACAATGTCACTCATACAGTCTTGCAGAAGTGTCATTTACTTGTTTGGTTTGGTCGTTATGAGAAAATGAAGTACACCCTTGTCCAAGTTACATGATATATTAATTGGTTATTCCAGCAGCAAAACTGTCAACCAAAAGATGATATATGGGATGTAACACATAATTGATTAGTGATATCCATTAGAAAGGTCACGGTGTTAAAGTTTTTGATCTACACATTAACTAAATATTGAAAATAGCATTGTAAAAAATTGTAGCTTTTGTCCAGATTTTATTACAGGTTTAGTGTGCATAAATATTGGTGAAACAATACGAGGCAGCAATTTTACATAAAGGCCTCATCTAGTAATATACTAAAATAAATATAAACCCATTTGTAAATTATAGTTTTTGCAAGTTAATCTAAAAGAAAAAAAAATTTAAGTTTTCTTACAAGATTTCTGTCTTCTCTGCATAACCTCCAATATGTAAATAAACCTCTGACATAGAGTTCTTGTAATAATGTGTTAATGCACACTTGTAAATTTATGTCAGTAACTCTAGTCAAACAAAAAACATTGTTGAAACACTGTCTTTTATAATTTGGTGCTTGAACTGTTTTAATCCATACTAGAAGTATGCAACAGTAAACATGAAGCAAAATAACGTTTAAGTAAGTGACTAAAGCACTGACAATGCATTCGTAAGGCTGTATAAACAAAAACTACTATACAGGAATATAATTAACGACATGGATGATGTTTATAGCAAAGTTGCTGAAAACTATAGAAAAATCAACAAATTAATATCTAAATAGTGGGATTTGTATTCTTTTTACATTTCACTTTTCTACTCCAGGTGGCCAGGGACTAATGGTTAGTGGGTCACACTGTGAATCTGAAGGTCCATGTTTTGTGTCCTGTTACCACAAAATCACACTTTGCACTTTGGGGCTATGAATGTGCTATAAGAGTGATAGTGAAATTAAGCTGTTCAATTAGGTTAGCCTAAAAGTTGTCAGTATGTAATCTTAACTAGCCACTTTCCCTATAATCTAAGAGGCCAAAATTTGGAACAGCATTGCAGATAGCCCTTTATGTAGCTTAGCGAGAATATGTGAAACCAACAATTTTTACACTGGGATATCAGATTGGATTGCAGTTTCACACTAGATTAATATCACTTATGTAATAATGCCAAATCATTTATACGTCATCTATCTAATTACAGTTTTTAATTTAGTCATACATTAATTAAGTATGAAAATATTAGTAACGCCTTTTACATTAAGCCTAAGTTAAATCATTTAAGCCTAATCTTGGCTCCAATTATTATGTCTTTATTTATGGACTCTACTATAAAGAAATAAAACAGATCTACATTAAATGTCTGTGTTCTCTGTGTGAACAATTTATATCTTTCATGTAAATGTGGAAAATCAGTTTCATAATTTTGATACTTAGGGCCACATTTCAGTATAGTTATGAAACAATTCTCAGTATGATATAGCAAAGAATTTTGTTTTTACACCCATAAATATTACATATTCAACAACATCATATTTTTTCACAATGTTTCAAATTTAAATTTTATAACCAAAATAAATATAATTTCTTAATAAATAAATATCCTTCTCTAAAGACTAATATTTTGGCAGTAACTGCTATGTTTTTTATAACATGTAGAATGTAAGAATTAATTTGTGTCCAGTATGTTAAAACTTTACAGGTTACTGAATATATTATGTCTGAACATAATTCAATTTTTCTTGAATGAGAGGTAAAAGAAAATAACCATGTACGAGTTAGCCAGTTGAAAATGATAACCTGTATATAAAGCATAATTTGAAACACTGTATGCATGTGTGTTTTAGGTTAAATATGTTCCTTTGTTTATGAAGGAATTGTTTTTTTTTATAAGGTAGTTCTGTTGCTTCATTTAAACTTCTATTAAATCTAACTTAGTGACTTGCAATGTTTTTGTTGTTTCTTCACAAACAGCTAATCTTTAATAGCATACTAGTTTGTTTTACAACTTCTAATTAAGCATAATGAGTTTGTTAATTGTCCTTAAATTTTTTCAGACATACATTCATAGTGGTAAATAAACCACTAGCTAAGCTTAACAAAAGTCAAAAGAAATAAAAACAAGTATTTTAATAAACTTATTTTACAATACTTATACATGACCATAACATGTTTTAGCAAGTTAAAATACTATTAATGTAACTTTATTAATAGTATGGTAGCCGACAGTAAGCAATGATATAGCAAATGTGTGATTATTCTATAATTGTTACATTTATTTTCTGTTAAATCTGAAACCCCAAATCTCAGCATATAGATTACCACAATACATTCCTGAAAATTTATCATGTTTGTAAATATGGTTATTTACAAGAACAAGAAGACTAGCTTACTGGTTTGCCAGTTCTGAATGGTAATAAAGTTAATTCAAGTTAAAATAATAATAATAAATAATTGATGTTAAAAATGAATAATATGTTATTAATCCTTACCATAATTCTGATTTGTGTGTAACACACGTGGGATTGATAATAGTACCATTTGTGTAGTCTAGTTCACACCATGGTAGTTCTTGTTCTTACAACTGACAACACAAGTCATTCCTAGTCTTTCATGTCCTGGCTGGCTTGATGGAACCTGGTATTGGGCAGGGGGCCTCGTTGGCTCTGGATATGGCAGGTGTAGTGTGGTTGACTTATTATTGCACATTCTTTGTTTTCACTCTTAAGTTCTTAGCATTACTGTTGATGCAGTTAGTGGTATCAAAGTAAGGTTATTAAGGTATTGAGATTTTACTCATAAATATCCAGTTTATCATGGTCTCACAAAAACCAAATGGATAAGGTCCTATCAGCAACATGAAATATCCCACATGTGGGTTACTGACCTCGCACAAATCTCAGAGAAGTTGTTTCATTAATTGTTTTAATTCATGCATTTAAAAATGTTTGTTTTTGAAAGCAATCAGATTTAACAACAAAATATATATATATATGTATTTAGAACAAGTGTCTAGTGAATTTTAAATTCACATATGTCAGTGATGTATATTAGTATGTGTGCCTCCTGAACGTTCAGCATTTCCTAGTTATCTTTGTTTTGTTTTTCCGATGAAACCAAAATGCAGAAATTAGGTAAAATAATTTTACTGTCTGTAGGGTAAAATTATATTCATACATATGAGTTATAGTGCAGTCTATCAGTAAACTAATCTGATGCATTATACTGCTAAAACTTAGATTTATCTCATGTCTTTCAAGTAGTTTAAACCTTACAATCACAGTGCATGCTGATAGTAAGCACAAGTTACTCATTGATATATTATTTGATATCATTCAGAATGTTGAGAGAACTTTCTATGGATGATTCTGTTGTTTCAAATCATATATATTATTCTTCAAATGGCCTAGACGACTATTCATGTTGATGACTTGCTTGATCATGACACTGCTCATACATTATTCTATAAGAATTTAGAAATATTTCCACAACTGGAATGAATAAAGATAGATACTATTGGGCAGTTATATTGTTATGATAAAATCCACCAGAAACGTTGATTAAAGAGCATGAAGAGTGCATAGTTTTTATTACTACACAGATTGTTTCTAAGTGTATCAAAACCAATGTAGTATGTTGTCTTTTCTGACTTCAGGTGACTCTAAATGTTTCCTCCACAATCACATAAGACTGCTGGACACATCTATGAGAAATTAACAAAGGAGTGAGAGAGAGTAGGTATAAGTAAGAAGCCCAATATTGGTTCAAGTTTAATAAAGAAATATTGTGAATTTTGAAACACTGGTCCAACGCAAAGTACTTCCAAAAACTGCTTTAAAGTGATAGCTAAATCTTAATATTATATCATCACACTGGGTCATTTCCAAAAGAAACATCCCCCTTTCCTTGGATTGGTAATATATCTGAAAGTCAGTTATTATCTCTGAATAAACCTTAGCACTAACTTTCATACTAAATTTTGCAAATAATTGCATTTTGTCGTTAATTTATATAAGAAAAAATTAAGGTATCAGGTCGGAGTGACCAACTGCCTGTAGTGTTTTTCACTGACCTGGATGTCTAGAAAACGATTTTAAAACCTGGAGATGTTTTACCGTTTTCACTTACAATTACATGTACATGTGATGTATATAAACATACCATGCATTTTCTGCCTTTTTATGTTAATATAGTATTATTATAAGTTTATTAGTCTGAGTATGTTCAGTTTTCATGTAGCATGTGGTCAAGAAAACCATTAAATTTATTTTGTTATGTTTGAATGAGAATGATCAATCACATGAGTAGCACTAGTTGCTCTGGGTAAATCCAACATTGCCTTTGAAGTTAATGATGGATTTAGACAGTCTGGCAGATGATTTCGTGCTGTTAAATGTCAGCAAATAATTCTGATCCAATACACGTGATAGTATGTCATCCCAAACAAGTACATACACTTTGTTTATGTTATGTTGTAATAGAAAGTGTGCTTTTGGTATTTTACATTGTGCTCTGTTTGTTCTCACAAACTCAAGTCAGAGAAACACAGTATAACTTTAACAGACTACCTTTTTTTTTTATTCAGTGGACCTACCTCTTTGCTCTAGGAACAATCAGTTTTACATGAATATGTAATAAGGAGGACAGCAAGGAGAAAATATTTGTACCATGACCACAAGATATAATAATTGTTTTCTGTTTTCTCCTGACATGTATAACCCTTTACTTCATCTTGAGTCTTTAAATTTAAAAGATTTCGTGTTTTTGAAAATTGATTTTTCACAATTTAATGGAATTATAACCAAGAGGAAGGGTCAATTGCTGAAGGAAGATAGTTGTATGAGAAGAATACCGAGTCTAGGAGAAGACCTCTCATAGATATTGGATTTTTGACAATAAAGCAAAGGATCGTGACTTCTTTCTGTTGAGTTGAAGACTCAGAAAGAAAAGCCATCTGGTATACCCTGAATAGCTGTTCATGCTCTTTCCCCGAGGATCAATCTTGGGTTAAGGGAAGCACAGACAAATAATTATCATCACAGTGATGTGGCACTTGGTGAGTCTGAGACCAAGTGGTTTGGTCTGTGTAGGATTTCCAGCCAGAGTAACCCAACCCCAACTAGTCAAAGCCACCTAAGAACACCAAGGAGAGAATGAATGTGCCATTCATAGATGATGTCCACCAACATGAGTTATCTCACTGACAGATGAGACGGCAGACACCAAATGTTGAAGTGGGTGAACTACGTGCCAGTGGTGAGCCCCTGAACTGGAAGATATATTGCTTAACCAACTATAGATCCTAGAGGAGCCTGGGTTCATTCAGAGCTGATGGACGAGCTGCCAATAACAACTCATTCCTCTGCCACCCTATATTAGGGATGAACTATTCACATGAGAGTCAAAGTTTGGGAGTGCCTATTATGCTATGCCTGCAACATTGAAGACATCTTGGTCATTGGATGGTCGAGAAGTCATGAGAAAGAGTCTAATAATGAGTCTAGATGGTTTGCCTTAGACTCCATCGAGCCCTTGAGTGACGAATATCTTTTAGGCTGTAGGACAATCATTGTCGTGGTGCACCACAAATTTGCACAGAATTGAGCTTGGCCTTCTGCACAGATGATCTTTGCCTTTTAAGCTTTGAAGGGTTACTCTGCTCTCTTGGAGCTTTTTGTAGCTTGGTATATTCCTGCTAGAGTACAAGGATAAGAGATAGAGTCCCTGAGTGATATTGGAATGGCCAAAACTCAATGGATATCATGGTATATGAGGTATTTCAAATGAAACCACACTTAGGCCAGTCAACACGAATTTGGTTCTGACAAATGGGACAAAGTTGTATGTGAATCGAGATATGATTCTCAAACTATATGTAGGAGGCAATAATCACAGAAGGAAATTAATCATCATAGACTTCAGTCCTGCCATGATTCTTGGGATGAACATACTGTACAGCTTACCAGCCAATTTAACCTGTGCATCAGGCGAACTGATGTTCTGTGGGAGAGTTATCCAGTGTTGACTAAAACAGCCAGACAGGTGTATATGGAATAGGAAAATATAGTACCACTATGTGCAGAACTGGTGTTTTGTGGTTTACTACAGAGAAAGTGAAGTGTTTCAGTACTGTGTAATGTGGCTATAAAACCCACACATGAAATAAGCTGTTTCCTGTCCAGAAAGCAAACAGTATTAGCTCGGAAAGTTGTCTGTCTGAGTAAATATTAAGTCTCTGTGTTGTTCTGGAATTATAGATTATCAGTTATTCAGCTGTATGCTGGAATGGTCAATAGCACAGTAAGTGAAGTTGAATAAACAGGGCTAGTGGGAATTATTTAGTTGCATCTTGAAGTGAATACACCTGTGCTCCGCAATTGAGGATTGTGCAAGTAATTTAGACTGAAAGCATCATCATAAACTAAGTGACTCGTGGGCTGAATATGATGATGTATTTGTGGGACCAGATGGCCAATTGGGTCCAACAACAGTCAGTGTAATTTCTTGATCATAGTGACAGGTTGAGATAGAATCTCCACAGATCCTGATAAAATAGCAGTAGTACAAGAACGGCCTCAACCTGTGACCAAGCAAGAAGTCTACAGTTACATATTTTTACCAGTGGTAATGTAACTGGAGCAGTGTTATCACAGCTGAAGGATTGAGTAGAATGTATAATCATGTATGCTAGTCGTATTTCATACCTTCTAAATGCAGACACTATTCAACAAAGAAATAACTCCTTGCAGTTGTAGTCTTCAGGAAACATTGTAAACACTATTTTTATGGTAGAGAATTCAATGTTCCAGTAGACCATGCATTGCTGCAATTGTTCATAAACTCAAAAAAACACACACACAGAAAAGAGATGATAGCATGCTGCATAACAGTGCTGCAAGATTATTATTTAGTTATACATTATCACCCAGGCCTACAACATGAAAACACTGAAGGATTGTCTCACCACGTGGTTGGAGCCTGTCTGTCGAATGTCCTGATCCTGGACACCATGTGGGAGTTGAAACCATTTCATTTATAGCAAGGACAAGCCATACAGTAGAAGATTCCATTTGTGATAGATGCCACAATTAATGCTCTGAAAACTCTGAGAAGAGCAACTGAAGGCACCAGAATTATCATGGGCACTCTTTGCTATGCAGCAAGGTAAGGCATGTCTACCTCAGACTGAGAAATGAAACAGCGACATGTAACCTATTGCACTTCTATGAGCAGTTACTAGAGCAGAAAAATATGCTGTACCATTTTTACCAACCACCAAGCAGTGTGTGCTACAGCTTCTCCAAACTGCATAATATAAAGAATGGAGGGCACCAAGATGTAAGCTGCACTTGTGCTAACATTTGGTTGTATTTGAGCCAAATGCTCAACACTGGTGTCAAAACTGTATGATGTGTTCCACCCAGAGAAAAAAGTCGGCCTAAAGAGGGTATACTCCAACAGAGAATTGTTGGTATCCACTACAGAGAATAGCTTTGGATATCGCTGGTTCACTCAAAGAGAAGGAATATGGACATTATATACTCATGATCATCAACTACCTCATGCAGTGGGCCAAGGTCAATGTGTCAGTACAGTCAGTGGTTGATGCATTGGCAAAGTACTAGATAGCCCAGTATCAAGCACCTGAAGAGACTCCTACAGGTCAGGGAGCTAAGTCTTAACAGCCTACTGTTAGGTGTGGGGAAGACATGCACTTCACTTTATCAACTCCAGTGTGATGACTTAGTAGAGCAGATAGTACTGATTGTCAAGCATGTGCATACTAAATTTGATAATCCAGGTTGGAAAGAACAAATGTCATATGTCATGATAGCATATTGTTCAACTGAGCAGAGCTCAACAGGTTGTTTGTCAAGCATGCACAAATTCACGTTATGTCTCGCTTCTTGTAAATGTGATGTATGATCGCTCCTTAAAATAGATGTTCCACAGTGTCCACAAGAATATGGGGAGTGGATAACGTCTGCATTGAACCCCATAAGTTTGCATAGTAACAACTAGGAAAGACTGACATACAGCAGAAGAAGTGCTATAAATAGGTGCTACGAATGAATGAATGTACTAATGGTGACTGGATGTGGCTTTGGTATGTGTTACCAGCATGGAAGCTACTCCGGCTGATATGAGTTGGGCCATTAGCATACAAGCTACAACAATCAAGAGGTTCCCAGCTACGTCTCTATGTTACTAATGAATCTTGACTTGGCTGCAAATCAGAGAAGGAGGGTGATGAGTGAGAGGAGGACAAGAGCACTGTTTTATCCTACTACAATCCAGAAGATGATGTAAGAACTGAGATTACTTATCTGACTATTCAATATGAGCCAGCCGAGAAACACCAGATCTAGAGGCAAGATACAGCTCCAACATTTCATTATACAACAACCAATAGCCTCCCAATTGACATGGCTGGGATTGAATTCAATCATCAAGAGCTAGATGCAATGCCTAGTGCATCACCAGCTTGTGCAGTTAGAGGTGATAGCTAGGAGTTCAAAGAAATCAGCTAAACGTGTGTTGTACCCCATATGTTTTCAGCTATTGTGTGGTATTATAAGGTCTGACATATGCACTACTGTGTTTGGTTACTACTCAAATGCCATAGCTAAGATTGTTATCGCAGGAGCAGCTGGACTGAAAGGGCTGCAGCTCTTAGCTTCCAAAATATTGAGTACATTTTCATTATACAAGATATGTGTCAAATATTGGATGATAGCTATTTGATTAACACCATTTAGGTTAGCTGGTGCCAGTAGATGTAATTCCAAGCTAAGAGCTCGAAAATCTCGGTTTAAAGGTTATTGAAACACTCACTCTCCAAGCTCAAGCTACCTAGTGATTTTACTGAGGTGAAATGTTAGAGGCATCTCGTAAGAATAACTCGCCTCATCTAGTTGAATGATGAGAACCCATATTACAAAAAATAATGTATGCTTGTCACTTAATCTCTGCCAAGACACCTGAAAAGCATATAACTTTTATACATGCAGTGAGGGAGTTGTATTTTATTTTGAATATATATTTATTTATGCTATGATAACAACACGAATATTAATCTTTACATACAAGAATTTTGGTTGAAAAGTCGTTAGTTTAGCTCAATTTATTTGGTGACTATGTATTTCATAATGTTTGAAAAGAAAAACGAGCTAAGTCTGATAGCTCTTAGATGGCAACACATTACTATACCATAGCTATCGACACATAGCCTGTACGATGTAAGCTGAGAAGTAATTTGTGCGGGAGTCAGAAG